TTACGAGTGCGAGACCTTCGCGAGCCCTGACCAATTCAATAGCTGTGCTGGGTTGGTCGTAGATGAGCTCAACGATGCCAGTAGTCGTGGACGCGTCGTTCCACCGTGTTTGCATAGGCCTAGCTTTAGCCTTGGGTCCATGGTAGCGCAGTGGGAGATGAACTGTTTGATGCCACGGGCAGGATCGAAGATGGCGTCGCCGGTGCTTTGGTCGACAAATAATTTCGGGACAGATAAACTGCACAAGCGGCGGCAGGTTGTTCGAGCCTCTTCCAATCATCCCATGAGATCACCTCCTGATACTGTCTCCATTGTTCCTTGAAAGCACACCCCGGGCAGTACGATCCGTACTGGGCGTTCCTCAGGCTCTCGGAATCGCTGAGGGCACTGCGGCATTGCTCACAATAGAACGCCTTTCCCGGAACAGTCGATCGTTCGTTCGTTGTTTGGTACTGCTCGATCTTCCACCAGAAAGTCTGACTGTCGTGGTACGGCTCAGGCTCAATCAACGCCACATCCTCACCCCCGAACGGAAGATCCGATCTGCGCCTCTCCATACGCCTCACTCTAGCAAGGTCCTGCGTTGCGGAGGCCTGCTCCGCACCTGCTGTGATCCAATGAGGTTGACCTCGTCATCCTCGATGGAGGTGAAGACGCGGGTGACGCGTTCGTGGTCCAGATTGAAGGGCTTGATGGACGCCGACAAGATGTTGATTTTCTTTGTGTCCAGCACACAAGTCGCCAATGCCTTTTCGTTCATGAGGGATTTCTCGAACATCGCCCAACCCAGTTCAGCCTGATCTGCTTGGATCCGGTGTCCTGATCCTCCAGTCACGGAAAGAAGCTTAGGCCCCAGGCTTGACGTAGTCAAAACCAGGCACCCGTTAGCTCGAAGTTCCCTCGCCAGCTTCTTGATCACGCTGCTGTAGGACATCGCGGTATGGTCAAGGCCATTAAACAGCGGGTCGTCATTGATCGTAATAATGGCGGATCTTGGGACAATCTCGTGGAGCTTGGTGATGGGTTGAATGTAGCATTCCTCAATGACTTCGTTCTCAAGCGGTGTAAGAGCGATACCACACAGAGACAGGTGAATGTGCACGGTCATCCGGGAGATCGTTTCCACACGCGTGCTTCCCAATCTGTCGCATACCCTTGATAGTTACTGCGAAATTGGTAACATTGTCTTGCGGTCGGTTCAGCTCAGGAGGAGTAAACACTTCCAACGATGACCATCCCCTGCTGCGCATCGCAATGGCCGGGCTCGTACGAGCGTGTGAATTGTTGGCCTTCGAGTGCAAGTTGTAGTCCATAACGAGCAAGCGTTCTCGGCCTTCCAAACTGTCCCATCGTCGCGACCTGTCTCCGCGTCCCGGAGGTCCACCCGAACGTGCCAGCATTGAGACGAGCCTATGAAGGTACACCTGGGCGAAAGATTNNAACGGCTCTTACGAACTCGCCACCGTCCCTCTGCTTTGCCAATTTTCCAGATCATACCTTGAAATGGTGCGTAATGAGCACATCCAGTCTCTGGAAGTGGTGCTTCCGGTTCGCTGACAGAGGGCGTGGCAGTTGAGACCCAACCGTTGGTCTGGGCCGACTGCTGGATGAATCGGCGTCAGAAGACGCGGAGGTCTGGTAGATGGTGCCGGCGTAGTCCTTGTCCTCTTTGGGCCTTGTCCCGTGAAGTCAGGCGAGGATGAGCAGCAATGGGGCGCGGGAAGTTGGTGTCGCCGGGCAACAAGTAGACGTGACCAGGCCGTAGACCATGATCAATATCTTGATTCATGTCCTCGATCGACTGGTTCCACATCTGAAAAGCCTTGTTCACCCAGGAGTAGTCCGCCAGATCCTGAGTTGATTGTACGAAGCAACCGCACAATCGTGTTGGGCAAGCCTGCACCGGTAGGAGCAGGCCTAGACAGAAGATCCAAGATCTCATTGATGGTGCTGAGGTCCTCTTGCTCCGGCCAGGGATAGGTGTAGTCGATGGAATATAGCCTCAACGTTCTCGCGCACACGTTCAATGCCTGGAAACAATTTACCGCGTAAGCCAATGGCGCATCCAGATTGCCAGGATGTCGCTGGACCAAGTGAACGAGGTCTATCACCGTCATTTGACGGTTATGCGTCCGCAGGCCGTAGGCTATGTGGCTGCTAAATTCTCGACGGAATTCCGCAATAGGACAAGGGCAGTCCATCCTAACTTCATGGCAGAGGGCTGGCGCGCAAATACACGGGTCGTCGGGAATAATTCCGCCACGGCACTCCTGGAACGACAAGACCTCGATCATAGTCGCCGAATAGTCGCATACACAGAAGGTTGTGCACGAGGACCGCGAGGAGGAGGACTAGGTGGGGGCACCGAAGATGAATGCCCTGGCGGTGGATCATCCTCTTCCAAGGAAGTTTGCCACGGTGTATATCCACTTGCTTGCCTTTCGGTTCGAGGGACGCAGTCCACTCTCACCTCCGGGCAAGAGCAGCTACGTTGATGTGGTCTTTTCCCAATGTGCTGACCGTCGGTCGAACACACGGGCCCTACAACTTTCTTACAGGGAGCACAGTCAACAACAACATAAGGTAAGGCAATAGAATGCTGAACACTCCTACCTTGTTTTGTTTCACTGGTTTGAGCCGTCTGCGAGACATGCACTCGTTCTTCCATGCTTCATGAATGGTACTGGCAAACACAGGCGTGTAATTCTCAGCTTCCTTTACAGCCTTGCCT